GTCTTGTTTCAAAATAAGAATGATGGATCCATTATCGGGCCCTTAACAAGGTGACTACAAAAACAACTATGCAGTCCCACTCGTTGATAAATTGTTTGATAGATTTGGAAAAGCAATCCATTTCACCAAGATGAACCTACGTCTTGAATATCACCAAGTCAGAATCCCTGAAAGAGACTAAGCAAAGACAACTTGTGTGACGAGTTATGGTTCATACGAGTTTCAAGTTATGCCTTTTGGCTTAATAAAAGTCCCTACCACGTTCTGCAATTTAATGACCAATGTGTTTCGAGAATACTTAGATCATTTTATGGTGATTTATTTGGATGACATAGTTTTGTAAATTCAGACCCCATAGGAGCACGTTGAGTACCTTAGGTTGACTTTGACAAAGTTGAGAGAAGCACAACTTTATTTGAAACCTGAAAAATGTGAGTTTGCCCAAAAGGAAATTTCATTCCTAGGGCACATTATTTTTACAGGTGTAGTGAAGATGGATCCTAAGAAAATTGAGGCAATTGTCAATTGGTCTATCTCTACTAAGGTAACTGAATTGCGTTTATTCCTTGGTTTGACAAATTATTATCAGAAGTTTGTAAAGAAATACTCAAAGGAGGTTGTTGTTTTAACTAATTTTATGAGGAAAGATAAGATTTAGAACTGGTCCTACAAATGCCAAGAGATATTCGATCGATTAAAGGCAGCGGTGACAACTAGCTCAATTTTTTGGCTGCCTAACTTTGATTTGCCCTTTGAAGTCGATATAGATGCATCAAACTTTGCTCTTGAAGGAGTGCTGGTGCAGAATGGTCATCCAGAGGCGTTTGAAAGTAGGAAGCTAAATGATACCAAGAGGTAGTAATCGGTGAATGAAAAAGAAATGACAACACCCATTCATTGTGTCAATGCGTGGAGGCATTATTTGCTAGGGAAACATTTTCTAGTTCTGACCGACAACGTGGCTACCAGCTGCTTCAATTCTATGAAGAAGTTGACACTGAAGCAAGCAAAATGACAGATTTTCTTGCTCATTTCCACTTTACTTTGCAGTACAAGCCTATCAGTGCGAATCAGGTTGCTAATGCACTTAGTTGGATCCCAGTTGCTAATGGGATGGTGGCCACACTTAGCCAGATTGTTGGGGACATGCTACAAAGGATTCAGGAACAAATGAAGTTTGATCTCATGACCATCTTATTGCTGAAGTAGGTCCAATAGGAGGTGACTTGACAGTTTTGGGTAGAGGAAAGTGTCCTCTATGCCAAAGGAAGAAGGCCTTATATTCCAAAGCCTGGTAGACTTCGACAAATATTGTTGAAAGAGACTCATGATGCTCAATGGTTAGGGCATCCGGGATAGAAACGGATTCTTGCTCTATTAGCAAAAAACTATTATTAGCCCTGTATGGAAGCAGATGCAAAGCTCTATGTGCCACTTGTTTGGTGTGTCAGTAGGATATAAAAGAAAAGGAGGAAGATGGTGGGTACCTTAGAGTCTATCCCCATTCTGAAAAGGCCTTGAGAGAGTTTTTCCATTGATTTCATCAATGGGTTGCTTAAGGTGAATGATTTTACTTCGATCTTTGTGGTGGTTGACAGATTTTCAAAATATGTAACCTTCATTGTTGCTCCAAAAATATGTTCTATTGATGTTACAACTCAGCTATTCCTTAAGCACATTATAAATCTTTGGGGTCTTTCACTTGATATTTTCAATGATAGAGACACTAGATTTACTGGCCAATTTTGGACAACCTTGTTTGAGCTGCTGGGCACATAACTTAACCCCCTCACCAACAATCATCCACAGACAGATGGGCAGACTGAGTAGGTAAATGCGATATTGAAGGAGTATCCCAGGTATTATGTGATAGTGTACCAACAGAATTGGGTGGATTTACTTGATATCGCTTAATTCAGCTATAACTTGCAGCAAAGTTCCTCCATCGGGATTAGTCCATTAGCCAACAACCTCTCACTCCACATGAGTTGGCTAAGCAGAAATCTCAAAGGAGATGTCTTGCAACATATCGTTTTGTTTAGGTCAATCAAGAGAGGACTAACGAGGCAAATGACTGCTTGACAAAGACAATGAAGAGGATGAAGAAATGGGCAGACGAGAAAAGGAGGGCAGTGGAGTTCGATGTTGGTGACAAAGTGATGCTTAAACTTACCCCATCGATTTGAAAGAAGATCATTCAAAAGTCTGCACACAAGTGATTGATCTAGTGCCATGATGGTCCTTTTCTTATCACAAGAAGGATTGACATATTAGCCTATATGCTGGATCTTCCCAATCGTCTCAAGGTACATCCGATTCTTCATATTGCATTCCTGAAGCCGTACATAAAGAAACAGAACGACCCAAGCAAATATGTTTGGCTTCAGGCTCCTCCAACAATTAGGAAGCAGTTTACAGAAGTGGCAGAATCCATCCTTGACCACAGGACTAAGAGAATGAGTGAGAAGAATAAAAGGACTCATTACTTAGTCAAGTAGAAAAAGAAAGCACTGGAATAAGCTACTTAGGAGAAGGAGACGACATTGTGGTAGTTTGAGGATCTTATCAAGAAGTACTATGTTACCCTTCCAATGAGATCATTGGATACCTCAGGTGGGGGTGACTTGTCATACCCTAACTTACTTGGGTGTATAATTGTGGGTTTTGGTGACACCTTGCACTAAGGCATGACATGAGATGCAATCAAGGTAATGACGCTAAATGGTTCGACAGATTGTGGGGACCATATTAGCGTGAGACCACCCGACTGAGCATAGCAACGCGTGATGGGCTCAATTGATGCAATGTTGTGCATGAGTTCAAATTGCATGCCATGGCTTGAACCAACATGCATACTGGTTTGTGAGCAAGGTTGGTTGCTGAATTGTGTGCACGTGGCTGCTAAATGCATGTGACCAAGAGGGTGTGGGCAATTGATATGCAAGTCTCAGTCAAAGCAACAACTGAGCATTGCATAGTCTACGGAAGCAGTTGTGGGCGTTCTTAGCTACAATCTAGTCTAGACGCATGTAGATAAGGGTAGTTCCACATCAAGTGCTGAAATAGTTGAACTGTCTATCGAGTGTCACGTAGAGATGCATCCTTGTTGAACAATTTTGCTAAGGAATAGGTAGACTGGTATAATAGCCCCTTGGCAGATGAGATTGTCATATGCCATGCTCTTGTATAAATAGGAGTGTGGGGGCCTTTTGTAGAGGCAGAGAGTTCTTACTTAGAGTTGAGTTTCCTTATCATTGTAAAGAGCTTTAATATAAGGTTTGAGAGTGTTTTTCCAATAAATTCGTGTGTTGCCTCTTATGTGGGTTTGTTTGTCCCTGTATTTGAGTTTGTGTGACTGGTTATAGTGGCAACCCTTTCATAAGTAACCCCAAAAGTGAAAAATGATTAGTTACCTCGTGACACCTAAGCAGATAGACCAATCATTTTTTTTTATTGAAATTTAATCTCAAAAAATTATCTTTTAAACCTAAAGGTGTTGGACTTTAGTACTACCTCTCTCGGTATTGAAGTCAAAACTCATATATCTAAAGTACCTTAGTTGATTCTTCATTCACTTATTTTATATTGGTACTACCAGTATTGGAGTGTTTTTTTTTTTTCACACAACTTAAAAGACACGAATCAGACATGACATAACATAATAAAATGGTATGCCCAATTAACACGATTAATAATTTGGTCTAACTAGTGTTAAACACGAACAAATCATTTAACGGATATTATATGAAAGATGTTTATTTTTAATTTTTTTTATTTCTTGGGAAAGTATTGTATGAAATGTTACAACAGCAAGATTTTTGTTTTGATTTTATTAAGATTCGGATCAAATAAATTTTATATTTATGAGAACTTGTGAATGGGTTAATTAGGTGAAAAGAAAAAGGGGTGTCAATCTTCCACTTTCTTATCTACATACTATACAAAAATGTACCAACATAACACAAATCAAAATAGCCCGAGTGAAATACAACATATCTAAAATAACATGACACAACTCCTATTGACAACTCCACTGATGAGCGACAATAAAATTTGGTGAAGGAGTGACAATCATGTCGTGTTATGTCGGATTCTTGTTGTATTATTGTGCGTTTGTGTCGAATATTAATCAACTCTAATCTAATCTATTTAATTAATCGTGTTGTGTCGACTGACCTATTTATTTTCGTGTCAAATTCATGTTCGTATTCGTATTGACTCATATAAATCTTGAATAAAGAACTTAATGCTAAGATTTAAGTCTAAAATTTTATTATCAATTAATTGAATCAATGCTCATACTTTTTCTATGAATTAAAAATTAACTTAATAAGCATAACAATAATAATGAATAAAAATATCTTGTTGATACAATAATTATGTTAATGTTTAATAAACAATAACAAATAATTAACATTTTATTTTTATAATATTAGTTAAATGTATTAATCGTGTCAATTTTTGTGGTGTTCATATTTGACACTAACTTAACCTATTTACTATTCGTATTAATGGATCGTGTCATTTACAGGTTTGTGTTAAAAAGTGATCAATCATAACCCATTAATTTTAAATCAATTTCGAGTAGCATTTTGTGTTGTTAAAAATTATTACCCCTAATTTAGAGTTTAAGAAATTGTTACCCCTAATTTGGAGTTTAAGGAAGGTAGCAATAGATATATTTAAATTATATTTCGACTCTCTTAATAATGAATTTAATTTTACTTTACCTCTTGAATTATTTAGTTTTTTACATTGCTCCTTCAAATACTTGAATTGTTTATACATTGACCCAAATGCAATTGTTTACTATCCTTTTTTACTACAATTGTGGATACAAAGTAAAAAAAAGAAAATCACTCGAGTGATAGGAAACTAGTCACATAGTTGAGGATATAGTATGAAAAATATAATAAATTAGGGGATACTTTTTAGTGTCAAAGTGTAATTTTTCCAACAGAAATTATGAGATGTCCTCGTCGCGAACCGTTGGAAACATCGGCATGACCTGTCTGTCTTCATCTCTCACTCTGTTTCTCTCTCATCAAGCTCAGAGTCCGAGCTTCGAACCCAGTTAATTTGGTCCTTCCCAAAAACCCTAATCACACCATGCCTTCGACAATTCAATCACTCAAAACCTCAACACACTGACCACCGTAACGACCACCGCCATTACACCGAACCTCATAATGTCAATCACACCCCAAAACCTCCTTGCAAATTCACAGCCTCGTCTCTCTTTCTACTTCTCAAACACCCATCTCAAAAGCCCCACTTTCTCTCTCTCACTCTCCTCCAAACCCTTCACGAACCCCCTTCATTTCCGTATCCCAAGATACAATTCACCAAATATTTACAATGTCATGAAATGTTTCCGTACCCATCACTGGCTTCTCAAAGCTTACGAGCCGAGCATAAGTTTAGGGAAACAGAATGATATCAATGACTTCAATTTGGATGCTTTTCTTTCAATTCTTGAGTTTCTATGTCTTGGATTTGCAGCTATTATTTCAATTGGGTTTGCCGCGAATTCGGTGGTTTCGGGGTCACAAAACCCCATTTTGGGGTGGTTGGGGAACAGTGTTTTTGTGTGGCAATGCGTGCTGTTGGTGGGTGGCGTAGTGTTTGGGGCTGTTATTAGGAGAAGGCAGTGGAGGAGGATGGTGATGGATTTTTCGAGGCCAGGGGGTTCAAAGGTTAATTTGGTGGAGAGGATTGAGAAATTGGAGGAGGATTTACGGAGTTTGGCAACAATTATCAGAGTTTTGTCAAGACAGCTTGAGAAGTTGGGGATTCGGTTTAGAGTCACCAGGAAGACTTTGAAAGAGCCCATTTCCGAGGTAATGATATTGTTACGATCCCACAGCGGTTAAATATGAGACTAGTTTGCGTTCTAGCCATGGGTCCATAACAATTGCTGTTTTCTCCGGTGTGCTGGAGTAAAATGAGAAGTTTATAATGTGATCATTGAGAAATCTCCCTTGTAAACAATCACCGTACCTACCTCTTAAACTTTATGAATAAAACTTTGTTCATCTTTGAAAGGGCTTCTTGCAAACATAAACAAACTGTCTAGGACCGAATTGTTTCGATTGAAGTCACTCCAATGCTTAAGTCAATAAATGTGTATAAAGAATATGTATGCAAAGAGGATTCAACTTACGCTTTGCCATGCATTCTGATTGTTTTATATTGATTTTGCCCTATTTCTAGGATTGCTTTTACTGGTGTGGGAGATGACACATCTCCCTTCATTCGAAAATGTTTGTTGGAGATCGCAGAAATCTCTCAAATGCTCATGGTTCAAAGTTGGGTATCGATCATCAATTCGGAGAATTTTGAGACATATTGATCGCGTCATCGCGGCGCGATATCAGGCAATATGACCTAAAAAAAATGTTGAACATGACAATATATTCAAGTCATACCGTAATGTCACGTAATTGACTCGGATACAACTCGAACAAATTAACCAAGTTGTGTGAGACTCAGGGATTATATGTATCGTGAAACAATATCATTTCGACAAGTGCCGAGTTAGATACGACTCTGCCAACTCGTATCGGTATTGGCCAATATTTTGAACCATGCAATCGCTCCATCAATTGTAGCTCTTTTGAGTCATTGACCTTGCTTAGCTGTTGCACCTAAATTCCCCAATTATTGGCGATTTTCTCGTTGTTTGGTTCATGCCACGCTTTCAAGTTGTGTTGTGCACTCGTGCTTAGTAGTATGAATCGAGCTATTGCTGTTTGGTTTGGTTTGTTCCAAGCTGCTTGTATTTGTGTCCTGTGTCACTTGTCCCTTCATGATCACGTGCGCATAGAATCTATCTATACACATGGCAAAATTTTATGCCCCTTTCACTTGCCCACAAAAACGCATGTTTGCATAACAATCGTTTCATATTTTTAGATTCGTCATTGCCTAGATTCTCGAGATATGTATTGTTCTTACCTTGTCTCTTCGCATTAAATGTTTGTCCTTTGGCTCTTGTTCACCTTCTTTAAAAAGAGGTGTAAAACGACTCATCCATTCTTACTTCTCTTCAAAACTTTCATTTTACTTGCTTCCCTGTTCTCCTATTTATTCCCTATCTCTCGAATGGCTCCCCTTACACAAGAAGACATTTTAGCTTTTAGAGCCAAGTATAAGATCCCTAATGACATTCATGTTCGAGTTGCTGGTGTTGATGAGCCATTAATTGGCACAGGGGAGTCTATCCCTATCCACACTTGAGCAGTCACCGAAGGTGGCGTAAGGTTTTCTCTTCACACACTGCTCCTATAGGTGCTCTTAGCTATGCCCTATTCATTGTTGTCCCAACTTTTTCAAAATAGTCATAGGTGTTATTGCCCTAAATGACCTTCTGAACGTAAGTCTAGGCATCTAGGAGGTTTTTTTCTTGTACATACTCATGCCAGCCGGTGACAACTATTGCCTGGCAATGAGGAGGAATGATCGATACTTGGTAACCCACCTCCCTGATTCAAACAAGGGTCATAAAAATGATGTCATTGTTGTTTCTGGAAACTAGGAGTGCGAGGATGGAGACACCCTTTCTAATAGATGCCCATACGAAGAAGGCATACCAGGTTAGTGAAAATAATTTCCTTTGGATTCTTTGGACTTGACCTTTTCGCTTGTTTTTTTAAACCACTAATCATCTCTGTTCTTATATACTTCTTAGGAGAGATTGTCAAAGGAAAGATTCTCGAGTATTCTGTGAAGATGGACGACCTGAAGAAAGTATGGTCTTTCAATGAGAGTTTGTTCTATCGAACTACTCATGTCCTTCTTGGATACACCCCTACATATCATTCGTTCATTACAATCCCTTAGCGAGCCAATGCCACCCTTGCTGACGACCGAGATACACTACAAGCTCAGCGTGCTGCTACCCCATGCTCTCAACAAAAATCTGTCATCCCTTCATCTAGAAGGAACAGATCAATGGAGAATTTTCTAAGTTTTCTTTCATCGGGTGAGCCCTCCGAATCCGCCCCATTAATTGTTCAAATTCCTGATGATGCAACTTCTTTACCTGCTCTGGAAGTCGAGAAGATGATTCCTTCTTATGATGCCCTGAACCTTCTGAGATACAAGTTTCTTATAAGGCTTCGGTCCCTCATCCCAAGCCTACTTCCGAGGTGACTCCTGTTAATCCTACAGTCGCCTCCTCGTCTACACGGTCTCCTGATGTAGAGGTGCAAGCCGAGGAGCGTTTGACAAAGAAGAGGAGTATAGAGCCACACAATGTTATTTAAGGAGTAAAGCGAATCGAAGCAACCAAGGCTCTTCACGAGAAGCGAGAAGCGAATAGGAACACTTTACCAAAGCGAAGCGAACAGTTAAAAAAAAAAGTAAATATTTTAATTTAATTACTTCTAAACATCTAAATTCTAATTTTATATATACTAAATATTTAAATGCAAGTAAAATCATAAATATTTAAATTAAAATAAACACTAATAATATCTCAAATTTTAATAACAGTCATAGCTTAAACATTTAAATTTAAACAAACACTTGTAACAACATTTTTAAATCTATTTTTAAATCAGCAAAAATAGTATGCCATGTACTGAATCTATTTTTAAAGTATATCAACCACATGTGTTTTTGTTAAAGTATATCAATCAACCACAGCTGTTTTTGTAAATTTATTTTTATGTATATTCGTAGGCTTATATACATGTACTGAATCACATTTCAGGACAGCATAACAACAAAACAGAACAATACTATCACATTCAGAACAACAAAACAGAAGCTGGACAGCAAAAAAGTAGCATAATCAGTCAAAAAAACAGGAGCACAATCAGAAGCACAATCAAAAAATAAAAAAGACAGGAGCAAAATTAGAAACTGGGAAAAAAATAGAATCAGAAAAAAAAAAAAAGAAAAACTAGAAGAGAGAAGAACCAGAAGAGAGAAATATAAGAGAGAAGGAAAAGAGGAGATTAACCAGTGCAGCGAGGAAAGAGCAACAATCAGCGAGATCAGTGAGGAAGGAGCGGCGATCGAGTCTCTGTCCAGCCTCCAGCAATCATCTTTGTCCAATCGATCGTGTTTGTTGATCGTCTCCAGCAACTCTGTCGATCGTGTAGGAGCAGCGATCGACTCTGTTTTGTGTCCAGAGATCATGTAGGAGTAGGAGCAGGGAAACAATCTGGGCAAAATTAGGGTTTGGGGTTATATTTATGGGATAAGAGGATAATTTAGTGTATCAACATCTTATAATTTTTTTTTCAATTGCCCAATCCAATGGTTCACAATAAAAATAAAATAACTTCGCCTCTAATGACTAAGACGTTCACTTTTTCGCCTTTCGCTTAAGCGAAAGGCGCTCGTTTTTCTCGCTTCAGTCACATTCGCTTTGCCTAGGGTCCTCTGGGCGAGATACCTTCGCTTCGTCTCGCTGCCTAGGCGCGCTTTTCAAAACACTGGAACCACAATCTAAAGTTCTTGTTGAACGACAAATCCCCTCTTTTGTCCTATCTTGAAAGCAAAAGGAAAAGAGATCACTGTTCGAGACTCAATTGCCAAGGACGTGAATGTCCAGGGCCAGGGGAGTGATCCTGCCTCGTGATCTTGCTGCAAATTAGGCAATGTCTGATGATGAGATCACTCGGCAAGCCATCCGATAAATGGTTCTAATGTTTGCCTTCCCACCTTCTAAAAAAGTGATCTTTCTTTTCTTTTTCATTCATTTCTTCTCAATTTCTTATGAAAATGGCCTGCAAAAAGTTCATGAGGTTGGGGCAAGGATCACTTTGCTAGGGACTTTTGCTTGGGGCCGAGCTCTTTGAAGAGGAGCCGAGCAGAGGCCATAACTTCTTAGAATAAAAAATAAGTAAGATAAAAATCTAAGTATCGATAGCAAAAGTCCCTAGCAAAATACTTGAGATCGGACTCTTTGAAGATGGACTGAACATAAGGAGTTGACATAATTGGTAGATTCCTGGCTAAATGTAAAGGATCGGATTGTTTTCAGACAAACAAAGTATGACAAAATACAAAAAATTAAACTAAAAAGTTCTTTCATAAAAATACCAAAAGGAGAGTACAATAATCCTTTTTACATGAAATTATTAAAAAGTTGTGTCCTTAGGAAGAAATAGGAGGTCTAGAAGAGTTAGGCATAGAGGAGCAGAGGAAGAGCTCAGAAGAAGAAAACACATTAGCAGCTTTTAGAGCAGCAACCCAACCTTTTGAAAAGTATGCACTTTCCAGTAAAGGAAATTTCAAGGCTAGATCATTCTCTGCCTTCACCATCCCTTGTTCAAAGGTAGCATTTTTAAGATCCTTGGCTTCAGTCTTGAACCTCTCAAATTCCTCCAAAAGAGTGGAGTGTTCAAGCTGGGTCTCGGAAAGCTCCATATTGAGTGCACTCTCTGAAGGATTCAACTTTTCCACCTCTGCCACAAGCTTTTTGTTCTCTTTTGTTAGGCTAAGCATTTGAGCCTGGAGAACAAGCATCTCTTCACGAAACTTGGCATATTCTTCCTCAACAGACTCCTTCACCAGTGCAGACATACGCTCATGAATAGCGTCCTTTATAACCTTGTTTTTTCTAGCAATCCTTGCCCTAACCTCATTAACTTTTTGGAGGTTATTGTCATAAGAAAAAGAGAAGAAATGAATAAAAAAGAAAAGAAAGATCACCTTTCTAAAAGGAGGGAGAAAAAAAAATATATAAGGCAAATACCATAATCATTTGCTGGATGGCTTGCCGAGTGATCTCATCATCAAACACTGCCTTATTTGCAATAAGATTACGAGGCAAGATCACTCCCTTGGCTATCCTGAGTACGACATTCACGTACTGGTAGCTGAGTCCTGATCAGTGATCTCTTGCCCTTTCACATTTAGGATAGGATGGAAAGGGGTGATTTTCCGTTCAACAAGAACTTTAAATGGTGGCTCTATAATCCTTCTCTTCTTTGTCAAACGCTCCTCGGCTTGTACCTCTATATCAGTTGACCGTGTGGGCGAGGAAGTGATTGTAGGATTAGCAGGAGCCACCTTTGAAGTAGGCTCAGGATAAGGGACCGAAGCCTCACAAGAAACTTGTGTCTCAGCAGGTTCAAGGGCATCATGAAAAGGAATCATCTGTTTGGTTTTTGGAGCAGGTCAAATAGTTGCATTATCAAGAATTTAAACAACTGAAGGGGCGCATTCAGAGGGCTCACCAGAGGAAAGAAAACTTATAAAATTTTTCACTGATCTGTTCCTTCCAAGTGAAAGAATGACAGATTTTTGCCAAGAGTGTTGGGTAGTAACACGTTGAGCTTGTAGTGTATCTCGATCCACAACGAGGGTGGCATTGGCCTGTTCAGGGATTGTAATGAACGAATGATATGTGGGGGGTGTATCTAAGAAGAACATGAGCGAAGACAGAACAAACTCTCGTTGAAAGACCATACATTCTTTAGATCGTCTATTTTCATAGAACGCTTGAGAATCTTTCCTTTGACAGTCTTCCCTCAGAAGTACAGAAGAACAGAGAAGATTAGTGCTTAAAAAAAAATGGAAAGGTCAAGTCTAAAAATTCCAAAGGAAACTATTTTCATATACTTGGTATGCCTTATTTGTATGGACACCTATAAGAAGGGGTGTCTCCAGCCTTAAGACTCCCGGTTCTCAGAAACAAAAATGACATCATTTATATGACCCTTGTTTAAATTAGGAGGCAGGTCACCAAGTATCGATCCTTCCTCCTCATTACCAGTAGTAGTTGTCACCGACTGACTCAAGTATGTAGCAGAACAGGATCTCCCAGATGCCCAGACTTATGTTTAGAAAGTCATTTAGGACAATAACACTTATGACTATTTTGAAAAAGTTGGGGTAGCACTGAATGGGGCATAGTTTCATGGCTGAGAGCACCCAGCAGCAATGGGTGAAGAGGAAGCCTAACGCCATCTTCGGTGACTGCTCGAGTGTGGATAAGGATGGACTCCTTGATGCCAATCAATGGCTCATCAACACCAGCAAATCGAACGTGAACGTCATCAAGGATCTTATAGTTGACTCTGAAAGCTAGAATGTCTTCTGGTGTAAGGGAGCTATTCGAGAGATGAAAGACGAATAAACAGGAGAATAGGGAAGCAAGTAAAATAAAAATTTTGAAGAGAAGTAAGAATGGATGAGTTGTTTTGCACTTCTTTTTAAAGAAGGTGAACAAGAGACAAAAGAAGAGGGAAGCCAAATGACAGACATTTAATGCGAAGAGACAAGGCAAGTACAATACATGTCTCGAGAATCCAGGCAGTGATGAATTTGAAAACATGAAATGACTGTCAGAAAAATGACGGTTGACATGCATTTCCTGGGGGCAAGTAAAGGGGCATAAAATTATGTCACGTGTATAGGCAGGTGATAAATGCACGTGATCATGAAAGGACAGGTCACGTGGGACACAAATACAAAAAGCTTGGGGCAAACCGAACCGAACTGCAATAACTCGGCTCATACAGTCAAGCACGAGTGCACAACACAATTTTAAGGCGTGGCATGAATCGAACAATGGGATAATTGCCCATAATTGTGGAATTTAGGTGCAATAGCTAAACAAAGTTAATGATTTAGAAGATCTACAACTGAGGGAGCGTTTGAGAGATTTCTACGATCCCTAACAAACATTTCCGAATGAAGGGAGATGTGTCATCTCTCACACCAGTAAAGGGAATCTTAGAAACCGGGCAAAGTCTATAAAACAGTCAGGATGAGAGAGGGTAAGTTGAATCCTCTTTACATACAATTTCTTCATACACATTTACTGACTTAAAAATCGGAGTGTCTTCAATCGAAATATTTCGGTCCTAGGCAATTTATTCATTTTTGTAGGAAGCACTTTCAAAGAGAAACAAAGTTTTCTTCATAAAGCTTAGGAGGTACGGTGATTTTTCCTCCTACACATTGGTTTTGGAATAAGTTGGAATTGGAATGAAATAGGTCGAGGGAGCATGTACTTTTAGTCTTGCTAGCAATACAAAGTTTTGTAAACAAAAAATAATTAAGATAAATATGTACTACTTATAAATGTTAGCATAGGTGAATTTTTTTTTATTTCATATATCTTCCCTATTTAATAATGTTAAGTTAATCATACACCACGTATTCTTATTAATGTCATCATTTTTTCTTCCTTGTTCTATCAAAACTCCTCTTATCATATAACATTAGGTCTCTCATCATTCGCTCTACTTATTTTAATAGCTTTAGTTCTTTAATTACAATAGTAACTCAAATTATTGTATAATACATGTATAGATTAATAACTAGGTTTAGTAAAAATTAAAATAAAAAATAATTCTCAGACACATAATTTATATTTTTTATAAGTGTAACAAAAAATTATTATTTAAATATGTTTACATGCAATGCACGTTCGTATACTACTAACCTAATTTTTATGAAATTAATTATATCCTGATACCTTCATATAATTTTTGTTTTTATACATAATTTGACTTTTAAGTTCTTTTGAACTCTTTTATAAGTAGTATTTGACTTTTAAATTCTTTTGGACTCCTTTATAAGTAGTACATTTACATAAATTTTTTCATATCTATGCCTATATCTATATGAAGTAGCAAAGACAAATCTAAATTATATTGTTATATGCATATAGTTATCAAATTAGATTCTAAGATTAAATATATGTTATTTTTAAAAAAAATCAATAATTAGATTTAACAAGAAATAAAATACAGATTAATTTTTTGACACCAAATTTATCATTTATCATTTAATTTAATTACACAAAACATATATTTTCATAGATTCAGCAAAAAAATTATGATTTAAATTACTTATGTGCAACGTACGTCGTACATTGCTAGTATCTTAAAAATATAATGTATATGTAGAACTAAATTATATATCATCATATTTGCAAAACTGAAAAACCTATGTTTGTAGCATCCATAGAATGTTATAAAATTTTTATACATTTAATGTATTTGGACATTATAACCCCATGTGTGAGCTATGCACGATGCATCAAGCATGTCTATCAATATTACATATCTTGTGAGTTCTGTGCTTATTTTTTGCTCCTAAATACCATGTTACTTGATTCGAGCAGCAGCTTTACATGATACGGTATGCCAACTTGTAGGACATCTTGGACTGAAAAATCACCATCAAAAATTTCTTTTCCATTTAAGGCAACTACAATCCCTGCCAAACATATCCAGATGTTTAACCCTAACAGTAGTGAATACTCCTGACAAATCAACAAGGAAACTATAATTGATATCCCATATTACTTTTCCCATTTCCAAAAAAAAAATTAAAGAAAGAAAGAGAAAAAGAAATAAGCAAAGAATAAAGTAAACCATTATGCTGTGAAATTATACTCAAACTGTAGAAGCAGCTTAATACACATCAATGGGGTTTGGGAGTTTACTTATATTTTCTACTCATATATTGTATAAATGCAAATTCGCAATCTCATAAAGGCCATTAGTGGCTTCCTATAGAACAATTTCAAGAATAATGCGATGCAACTTCATTGGCTGATCAATGCATGAATTAATCCTGACTGCGAATATACACAACTATATATATATAAAGTGAGGTATGGAGGAAGCCACCTAGATACATATGCCTCTCAAATTGGTTAATACTTAAACAAATTGCAACACGATGGCCACTATAACAAACCTATCTAGACCAAGTCCGGTGAGAGAGAAAGAGAGAGATGGATAAGCATATAAAGTGGAATGGTCTTTAACTGAGAGGCTATAAAGTAGTGAGAATATAGAAATTTGGAGTTCTAAATTATAATTGATTCGTTGAATGCAATTGGAATCCATAAGGTCCATAACTTAAAATCAGTAGTATCTCTTCAAAGCATCATTTTTAGCATTTTAAGAGCCTAAAACATAAATGAGTTGTAGTGAGTATATTAGATCAGGGATGAAATTGGTTTTCTTGGGTAAATTAGGGTTAGAATTGGAAATCAAAAGTTTTTTCACTTGGGGTATTTTTATAAGTATTATAGATATTATGATGATGTGAGGGTTGGATTTGTGAACTGGGGATAAGTTGGCAAAGAATTTTGAGATTGGTGCCATCATACTTAGGAAAGGGCATGATTGAGTATGTTTTCCATAGGATTATAGCTGGGCAGCCAAAGTATATATGTTAGCTAGGGGTTTTGTGTCTTGCTGTTCAATAGGATTAATGGGAGAGTTAATAGAAATCCATTAGTAAGATCAACATGCTACATGGGATGAAAAGCTGGGGCACCAAGTGTGGGCTGTACAGAAGGTAATTTGTTGTAGCAATGGATATTTTATGACTGGTATAGAAGTATAAACAAAATGAATCCAGAAACACGAATATTTGCAGTTTTTTACATGGATCGTACTATATAGGTTCTCGATTCGGAATTTTAGGCTTATTTTGGTTTATACTTCTGTATAGGGAGTTGAAATATTTGCTCCACTCAGTTGATAAGAGCAATTGCTGACTGACAAAATCGGACATATATTGGTGAAGATATAGAAGTTAGTTTGCTATTTTAAAATAGGAATTTTTGCCTTATAACATCTGGAATGCTCGGACCAGAATGAGAGCCGATTCCTTAAAAGCTGTGGGGAGTAGCTCCAGTGGATGATCAACTTTACCGAGATGATGAATTGTGCTGCATATGAGAGGATAATACTCCAGGCAACCTTAAGTTCCTTTCTGAATAGTGACATTCATGGAACTAGAACAAATTTACGTTGCGATGCTTGGAGTATTATAAGCTTTTGTTGCTGGTCCAAACGATTGGCATAAGGCACTGTGATAATGATTAACTACACCTTTATAATGTTAAATTTGTTTGCAAGATCTTCATTTATTATAACTTCTAACTTGGTCTCTATATGAAGACTGCAGCTTTGGCTCAGAAGAATTCTTAGGCTACTCGAGCATTGGCAGTGCAAGAAGACATTTTGGAGAAGGAGCTTAGCGAAATCCAAAAGGTTCTTCTGGCAATGCAGATAAATATGATACCCTGTTTATTTTCTTATAACATTTGAAGTCCTATATGGTATTTGTTAGGATTAACGTCTTATAAAGGAGTTTCTTTAAAAAATTTAGGGTAGAAAGATCAGTGTCAAGAGGCTTATATATAAAAAAAATTCTTCAAGGTTATGTATCTTTGTTTTCCCTTTTTTGACAAGGTTAGGGTATCATATCAAGATTTAGTTTCTACTCCCTTTCATCTTTTCAAACTATATCAATTTTTCTTCAAATAATACAGAAACTCTTGAAAACAACATGTTTTCAATGTACTTGTATGTATATATTTATTCTCCTGCAAATCTCACATGAGGTAGCAGCAGCTGATGCCAATGTCTTGACCCTCTGGTGCCTGGTCCAGTCTGACTCACCTCTTTTGCTGGGTGCTGTAGCTGTCTGGTAAACATATTTTGTTATCTATGCTACTTGAGTAATCCCTATCAACAATGTCCGTTATTGTTCTTGCTATGCTATCAACTCTATCACTACTCAATCTTGTTCTTCGCACAACCATTAGGATTAAACATGCTTTTCCCCTGCCGGCCTCGTATCAGTATATCTAAGTTGCTATTTGTAGTTTTGTGTATTTCTTCTGCCAATCTGCTATTAGACCTGCCGAGGTAATGTATACTCCGGCGGAGCGAGGAAAACAATTTAGGGTGGGCACATTGACACGTTTTATTTTATTTTTTTTCAATTAACCGTAAAAGTTCATAAATTCATATTTATTAAAATTATATTTGCTTAAAAGTTCAATAAACATAGAAGATTAAAAACCGATATACATAACATGAACAAAAAAATAATAATTAAAACTTCTTATCAAGAATGCAAGTAATTATTATCACTTACAATTGACCCTGATATGTTTTTATTATTTGAAAGAGTTACAAATCAATTTTATCAACAATATTTCTTTTATATATAAAATTATGGTAACAATCTTTCATTTATGATCTTAGTTTACTAGATAACAATACGCATTTTTATACAATAACGAAATAACCCTACAACTTTAAAAAATTATCAAATAGTCTTAATATGTTGAAAATATATTCGAACATGTCTAAAAGTTAACAATAATATTAGTTGCACCTAATTTGAGATTTAATTAGTGGAGACCCAATGGATTGTGACCATTGGATAAATAATGGAGTTTATTAACTATTAAGACTCACTATTAGACTTCATATTACAATGCATTAGGTCCTTAAATTAGGTTTCAATAACATTGTTCGAAAAGTTAACAATCATTTAGGTAGAAATCTATTCAAATCAGTATTATCAGAACATAATATTAGGGTGAGCATAATTAAACATGTCTAAATTTTATTTCAAAAAATACATATCTAAGATGAAGTTAAAAAAAAATTGAGGGGGGCATGTGCCCACCCTAGCCCAAGGGTGGCTCCGCCCCTGTGTATACTGTTTGATCAGAGCTGCTTTAGTGATCTCATCCTGTCCAATAGTTTTTGCTTTACCACTATTAGTTACTTTAACCTACCCTACATACAAAATTAATTTTTAATGTACTATCACTGTAGAAATGTAATGAACATTGCATTCCATGTTATTGCACCTTCTGGTTGTGCATATTTTCTAGTATTCTGGCCATTCACCCCGATCAGTAAATAGTTGGATTTGGGTATTTCTGCCCCTGATCTAATAGTTTTTGTTGTTATTGTCAAAATTGCTATACTTTGCAGTCAATCATGTTTGTTTCAGTCTTGGTGACTTTGTCATCCCCTCAATTTTATTGTGGACTTTTAAAGTGACATGCACGTGCCTAGTTTTGTGTCCTGTAACCTTGTGAAGATCTGTTTTGGTGGCAATCTGTGGCCCCTTGTACGAATGATGATTTGATATATATTATCTTAAAAGTACTTGATCAATTGTCTTATTTTTTTTGGTTGAAAGATAGAAAGCTATGGGTTCTTAGACATTACCTTCTGGATACTGCTATGATCATCTGATCTGAATGCATCTCAATTGTTTATTCCTGCTTGGAATTGATGGTAGAACAACGTTGGCCTACTTTGCTTAGAGGCTTCAACCCTTGAGAAAACACTGGAAGCCTCTAAACTAGCATTGGAGAAAATAAGGTTTTTAAGATCTAGTACTAATTTGTAATATGGTTTGCCCAAAGAAAAATGTATTGTAGAATATTGAACCTTTGGTTTTTGGGTGTTAGAAGTGGGGTATGGTCATAAAACTTGTTTTCCTATCTTCTTAAAACTTCTAGAAATGGCTATGTTGAGTTTTAATACCACTTTTGCATGGATAATAGCATTGGTTGGAGATTGATCAATAACTATCAAGTTATCAACCAAGTGTTTTTATAAAGTCTGGATTATGTATGTTAACGTTGAATACCCAAATTTCTTCTAAATGGAATATCGAGGTGCTGAGAAGCTTTTTTTGGCAATAATGGAAGAGGCACTGTTAATCTGACTTTATGGCTTTATTGAGTTATTTCAATAGGAGCAGCAGCAAAAACAACTTGAACTGATTCTTGCAATAGGAAAGCCCAGAAAGTTATGGGAGAGCAAGTGGGAACATTCACAGGAACAGAAAAGAATTGAAACAAGTAATTCAGCTGTGGATGTGGTACCACAAATGGAAACCAACCAAATCCAAGCTTTGGCTGCACAGAGGGAGGCCAGCAATGACGGTTAAAAAATGCTGACAGAGCCAGAGTAGTGGAATTGCTTGTTCAAGTCGGATGGACTTCCGTGTTTGGCATTTTGGGAGAATCATATCCTTGAGCTAACATTTTCTAGTTGTGCCACTAAAGGGCAGAAGTAAAACAGGAAATAGAAGAGAGAAGAGATAAATAAAATGAGCTTTATTCATGGTCAAAAAATAGCAATGTATCAATATGCATATTATTCTTGTTTGTACTTCTTGCTCTGGCACTGATCATAAGCCATTTTTTTGTTTTTTTTTGGAATGTAATGGTGTTGTAACTTTGGTGAATATTTATGTTTGTGGTAATACATTGTTGGAACTCAATAACAAGAGGAGTTATAATTGGATTACCCATTCCCAGCATCTCTTGTAATCTACTTGCACTAGAAATACATAGAAAAACTTGAAATCTACTTACCATGTGTTTTACTTGAAATCATTCTTATTCCTACTTTCAAGTGTTGACCGATACGACATGGCAGGGCATACCTGAATTCAGTATTTTTTGTTTCGATATCGATACAAATTCTCTAAATTGCGAGTCTCTCTCAACTGGAAGTGGACTTAGAGACATTTCAGTCGAGTCCATTCTATTTTAAATTTGAAACTATCTCGATGGGTGACACTATGTGCGAAGCAATTGTTCAGGATAGCTATGCGAGCAGAGTGGCAGGATCGCCCATGTACACAATGACAAAAAGTAGCAAATATGTGAGAAGTAACTGACCAACTGGAGCAAATGGAAGTTCGGGAACAACAAAAGGCTGCTATCAAAATTGAACCAGGAACTTTCTGACGTATAAATGAAAGAGGCTACTGAGGAGAATCTCAAAATTGAGGTCGAAATTGGTGTTGACATCGACTTGATCAGAGCAAGAGAAGAGAAATATTGGAAGCAAAGAGCGAGGATCAATTAGTTGGAATCAGGGGATCAGAATACAAAGTTTTTCCATCAAACAACTATCCAAAGGAGGCAAAGGAACAAGATCCTCAGACTTAAAACAGAGGAGGCACAGTGAATTGAGGATGAGGATGACATCAGTAACCATATAAACAGCCACTTTCAAAATCTCTTCTCAACGGTGGGCCAGAGGATTTCGATGAGGTGTTGGAGGTTGTGGATTGCAAAATCTCCGAGCAAATGAATCAAAGTTTGGTGAGAGAAGTTGGAGATGACGAAGTTTTCAAAGCAGCTCAACAATTTGGTCCCCTCAAAGCACCTGGTCCCAATGGCTTCTCTGTTGTCTTCTTCCTCACTTACTGGCACATCATCGGTAAAGAGGTTTGCTGTGCAGTGAGGAGTTTTTTCGAAGGAGGCTTCATGCTTAGGGAGTTAAGTAGAACTAATATTGTCCTTATACCCAAGGAGGCCAATCCATAATTTATTTCACAATTTAGACCAATTACTCTATGCAATTTTCTTTACAAGATAATTTCTAAAGTGATGGCCAACAGAATGAAAGGCTTGCTGAATGACATTATCTCCCCACAGCAAGCGGACTTCGTCCCCAAAAGACAGATTCATGATTGTATCATTGTGGCAAACGAAGTCCTCCATTACCTGAAGCTGAAAAAGAAAGGCAAAACTCCTGAGATGGCTATTAAAATGGATATTAGCAAGGCGTATGACAGAATCTAGTGAGATTTTCTGGAAGCTATAATGATCAAACTTGGCTTTAGTCCCAGATGGGTACAACTTATTACCCAATGTATCTGCATAATGAGTTTCCAAATTATTGTGAATGGTGAAAGGAAAGGTGTAATTTATCCTCAAAGGGGTATCCGTCAAGGTGACCCAATCTAACCTTACCTATTCATTATGGTCGCTGATGTGCTATCTAAGATGATACAAAAGAGAGTGAATGAGCATAGATTCTTGGGAGTAAAAGTTCGTAGAAGAAGCCCTGCGGTGTCCCATCTCCTGTTTGCAGACGACTCCCTATTCTTCATCAAGGCAAAGGAGCAGGGCATCCATAACTTACTAACCACTCTGGGGAAATTTTGCTTGTCCTCCGAGCAGTGCATGAACTATCAGAAGTCAAGAATCTTTTTTCTTCAAACACAACAGCGGAACAACGTGCTCACCTCTGCAACCTCTTGGGGATGCAACCATTCTCCCTTGAGTCCAAGTATCTGGGGCTTCTAGCTTTCTGGGGTAGATCAAAGGATGAGATTTTTGGCTCTCTGTTAAAACAGGTTCTGAAAAAGCTGCAGGGGTTGGAAAGGTTTAGTGCTAACTCAAGGTGGGAAGGAAATTTTGATAAAAGTTGTAATCCAAGCGATCCCCTCCTATGCCATGTCGGTTATCTCATTCCCAAAGAACTTTTACAATAAATTGGATACGTATGTAAGGAATTTCTGGTGGGGTAGTGGAGGGGTGAAGCGTGGGATTAATTGAAAAAAATGGGAGAAGATGATTGATTCCAAGGTGCGAGGGGGTTTGGGTTTCAAGGATTTTGATTCCTTCAATCAAGCTCTTTTGGTGAAACAAGGATGGAGAATCATTCATAACCCAAACGCCTTTTGGGTTAAATTTCTCAAATCAATCTACTTCCCAGACTGTGACTTTATGCAGGCAAAGAAGGGCACTAGGCCCTTTTGGTTTTGGGGTAACATTTTAAAAGGGAGAGAATTGTTGGAAAAAGGGCTGTTATGGCAAGTTATGGATGGTAATGACATCAACATCTGGGATGACAGGTGGATTCCTCTTTTACCCAAGGCAGTTATTTCCTCTACCAGGCTGCAACCAAATGACATTGAAGTGGTAAGTCAACTAATCACTCAGCCCTTCAAAGTATGGAACACTGGGTTGTTGAAATCTCTGTTTAATGACGTCGAATGTAAAGCTATCTCGGCTATCCCAATCCCAAAATCAAGTGGCAGCAACATAAGAGTTTGGCAACCAAATTCCAACGGAGTGTATTCTGTCAAATCAGGATATTCATTGGCTATTAAACTCAAACCCTCCAGCTTGGAAGCTAGCTCATCCTTCTCACCTCATCCGAAACTATGGCACGCTATATGGCACATGAAGGCTCTTCCAAAGGTCAAACATTTCTGGTGGAAGGTTTGCAATAATGCACTGCATCCCGAGAAAAACTATTTAAAAGAAGATGTGCAGACACCCCATGATGTCAAATCTGCAGAGACAAAATTGAGTAAATCGAACATTTGTTATTTGGTTGTGAATGGACAAGAAAAGTGTGGTTTGGACTCGACTTTGGATTCAATTTTGTTGGGGAATTAAATGAGACAACAGCCTAGTGGGCTTCCTCAATTCTGGATGCTATCAATGACACTGTAAGCTCATTTGAGATAATGGGGAAAGTTGCGGTGACTGCGTGGAACATTTGGAAGGGGAGAAACCTGATGGTGTTCAATTGTGAGGAACCAAATTCACTTCCACAGTTATTAAAGCCAAGCAAATGTGGAGTGAATATCTCTCAGTTCATCAATGAGCAGATGGGTGCAGTCTTTCGACAAACAGATCAGATTTTTCCTCTTCTCAAACACCTCAAGTCCCCAAGATTAGTTGCGACGGGGCTTTCAATGAAAGGGGTGCTGCTATAGGCATTGTTCTGAGGGACACTAATGACTGTTTTAGGGACGAAATTGGGAAGAGTATCCTAGAACTTTCAAGCCTATATGCAGAGGCAGCAACGGTAAGGGAAGCCTGCTTATTAGCAACTACATCCCAGATTTGGCACTGTACAATTGAGAGTGATAACCAGGAAGTCATCAAGCTTAGCACAAATGAAGGGGTCCCTCCCTGGGAAATCTCTGCTTTTGTGAAGGACATTAGAATATTTGCCAGACACCTAGATATAAGGTTCTTATACAAGCCAAGAGCCCTTAATAGGGCAGCTCATTGGGTGACATCATCTGTATTATCTGATTCACTTGCTGTGAATTGGGCTAGTTGTCCCCCGCTAGAGTTAAAGGCTTTGCTCTAATGTGATTGTAACCAACATTTTCCTACTTGAATGAATTTCACAATTTTTTCGCTGCTAAAAAAAAAGTGTTATTTGTGATTTCTTTTTCTATTTAATATTTCATGCAGATTGATCAATACCCTCTAAACAATGATTGATATTGTGGTTTTGGATCATATTGTTATTAACTAGTAGATGCATAAGTGTGTTGCACGTGAAATATTTTCAACATTTTTTTTGTTGTGATATGGGTTAAAAGATTTGTGCTTAAAATTGTGCATACTTAAACTCAACAAAATATTTTGATAAATGCAAAAACTATATTTTTTCGTTCACCTTATAATGTAACTCTTAAATGTTAAAATATACCAAAATTTTTTTCACTTTGTTACTACATTTATTTGCTAAAAATCATGGATTTATCACCACTCATGTATTATGTATGAGCAAATGACTGAAATGTATCTAGGTTGATTTTTTGATGAAGTCATCTGAGTTTTAAGTGACTCTTGTAGACTTACATGACTTACTACTTGTATATTACAATTGGACTCTATTCCAATTGGTTGCTTTGATCTATTAAGATATTTGAAACATCAATCAATTGGAATTTTATAAAGATATAAAAAAATATCGCTCGTTAATCTAATTCTATTGTTAAAACAAAAGTTTTAATACATATGTAGATTCAATTCTCTACCTAATTTTTAATTAGTTGTTTGTATATATAAAGAGAGAGAGAGACCAAGTAAAAAATCACAATGTCACTCTAGTTCTTCTAACTACTAAAGTGAGAGAAAAATAATTTATCATTTTCATATCTTTCGTCTTTCTAGTTCTCCTAACTCATAATGTCACTCTAATTTATCCAACTCACAATTTTATGAAAATGGTCAAAGACATGAATTATGTTGTAATTAACATTAATAAAGTTATAAAAAGTACGTATTGTATTATTTTTATATACTATTTTTTTGCAGGGTAATAGGGAAAATTAAAAAAAAAATTCTTCTTAATATTTTGGAGTAGTTTAGTATTATAGGTATCTATAATATAAAATAGAATAAATTTCAATAAGTCGATCCGACGGTCTTCAATAGATTCATTCAAAGATCATCAACATCTCTTTCATTTCAAGAATTTATAACTAAAGTAAATTAAAGTAATTTTTTTAAATTAATTTGTTAGTTTATATTACTCTGCACTTTTAAATAGGGGTGATCACCCTATCCTACGGGGTTGAAAATATAGTCTTTCGTTTTTCTATCCAATACTTTGCAGAAGAATTTTTTCTTAACCTACTCTACCCGATCAGGTGTGGTATTCCTACTCGACTTCCTACTCGATTAATCGAGTATGAAGTTGAATAAACATTTTTGTAGCTATTAATTTTTGGATCATTTTAATAATTTAATTAAATAACACGCATCAATTTAAGAATACAATAAATCAATAATACTAAAACTTGCAACAATTACAATAAAACATAAGAAAGTATGAACATCAATCCACTCTAATTGTTACATAAATACAATAACAATTATTTTAAAATTAAATCATATGAAACATATTAAAATCATAACTGCTTTAATAGATTACTAGTTCATCACAAATTATATAACCTACACAAAAAATAAGTTCATATTTTAGTAACTCAAACATCCACAACAATAACAATATTAAAATATAAATTCTATCACATAAATACTCTTATAATTAATAAAAAAATATAAAAGAGTAAAATATATTTTTTGCGGATAAGGTAGGTTAGAAATGCGGAAATTGATTGGTATTTTACATTCCTACCAAATTTAAGTAGAAGACCAATAACTCTTCTATATTCTTACTCGATTTTTATGGCTAGTCGTTGAGTAGAATAAGGTAAAACCAGGATAGCAAATTTGATCACCCTACTTTTAAACATGAATTACCCTAATAGATAGACAAATATAACATAGGCTATACATACAAAATCATATCAGTAAGATATTTGGCAGTCCCTAACTACAAAAACGATGTCATTTCTGTTGTGTTCCACCTTGGTTATCTCTCGCTCTCTCTCTCTCTCTCTCTCTCACACACACACACACACACACACACATCCCACACACTCACACACAACCCCCCCCCCTCTTGGGTCTCTCTCTCTCTCTCTCTCTCTCTCTCTGTGAATGGAAGGACTGAGGAAGCTAGGGCAGGTACAAAAGCTATTAGAGTTGATGCAATCCCAGGGCATCATCAATTCTTCCAGCAACACCACCAATGCCGACTCCGAGCGTTTCCTTGCAAATCTCTTTCTCCTAATGGTAACAATTCCTTGCTACTCTTTTCTTGTTCCTTGTCAACTGACGCCTTTCTTTCGGTAATCTGTTCGGAGTAGGAGTAAACCTTTTCTTAAAGGAAAACGCTATTTGAACCTAATTTGGGGGACTAATATGGGAACCTAATCCATTACAACTGTTGGATTGAAAGTGGGTTCTGTCACACATTGAAACTCATAACTAACTAAATGATTTAACTGCATTGAATTAGGTACTGATTAGCTCCCCATATTACGAGTCTATAGCACTGCTCTTTCTTAGAAGTGTTTTGGGGATGGAAAATAAAAGCAGTTGAGGGAGAAACAAGAACACTGTAGAACAGATAATGTTAGTTGAAAAGGCTGGGGGTGTTATCGGACAACACTTTCTTTTGTGGGCAAAGAATGATGACCAATTTTAAATCAAAAACATATAAAACTCTCTTTCTTGGTAAAGTAGAAACTACTTAGAGTACATTTCGGGAAGAAGATGCGAATGAATGGATTTAATCAATGAGAGTCATTCCAGGATAGCATTGCAAAATGCTCGTTTTGACGTGTGACAAATAAAGTAGTTCCAGTGTACAACTTGAGAAACAACCAATTACTTGACAAGTTAGTAGTGTACATGATTTAAACTAGTTGTATTGCTGTGAAAACCAACATGATCAATTGAAATTGCTTCTATTTCATGCCATTGTTGCTTGTCAAACCATTAGTACAATGAGGTCAGGTTACATTCTCTATCAATTTAGAGTCTATGAAGCTATTGTTGGATATTTTTATGGTTGAATCAAATGTCGACTCTTATAAAATGTAAGCATTGTGTTGCAAGCGGTTGTCTTGTGGGGCCACAATGCAGGTTTTGTTCTTAAGTCATCTAGTCATTTGTTTTGTGTATGTAAACACAAGACTATGTAAATGGGAGTGATCTCTCTCTCTCTCTCACTCACAGAGTTTAACCATGTGATGTTTCCTTCTCAATAAGTGAAGAAAACGCAATTTTTTTCCTTGTTGATCCCTTTTTTTTCCTAATGACATGCTGAAGATCCAGCCATGTGGCGAGCTTGATATGAATACAAAGTGCCAATTGGTTTCTGAACATTTGCCCAAGGTTAGCATAACCCTCTCATTAGTCTGCTTGCTTTGCGTAACAGTCAGAGGATGAAATTAGTGTGCTTATATTATCTGTTTACAGATTTCAGCTGCTTTTCTTGAGGAAGCATTGCAGTGTCTCAGTGAAGAAGGTATGATGCAGTCAGAAAGCAAGTGCGGTAGTTGTTGCACAACAGCTTTAATCGTCATGACTCATGATTATTTTTTTGGAACATTCCTCCTCTGTTTTTTTAATGCCTGACATGTGTCTTATTGATGGTTCTCTGAGATAATAAATAAGTGCTGGACTTTCCAAATAAGGTATAGTATGTAGTTTAGAAAGAATCCTAATCCATTCTCTTTCACTGTCAAAATAAGCGAGACTTGGGAAATTCCGTGATATTTATTTCCTGAAAGGGGTAATTTTTAGTATATTCAATTGGGATATTCAATAATTAACAAAAAAAAGGGTAATTGGTACAATCTTTCATGAAAATTGGTTATTTTGCTGGAATTGGCTTCACATACTCTTGCAACATGTCTGTGTGTGTTACACTCTGCATTTCTTGCAGGCCATGAACCAGCAGAGACTGTTTTCCCCCTCTATTGTGATAAAAAAGCAGGTCTTGATTCATTGCAAAATGACTCTGACAGTATGGGTATGGTTGGGCTGGATGCAATGCAACGAGCAAATTCTACCTTAGAAGATTTTGTAAGCAATTTCTTGTCCTCCAATGAATTTGAGTGAGAGCCATAAAGGCATAGGAGGAGGGAGGGGGGCGTAAACTAGTTGATTATTATATTTCTGGTTCTGATATTCCTTTGATTGATGATAGTATATTTTGCTTAATATATTTTGTCTACAATAGGTCAAATGACTGAATACTCACATTATTATCATTGGTTGATTGAACATATTCACATGCTGACCAAAGAGGTTTGCTATCTCATTGGAGTTTGTGCACAGTCAATGGCTGGTTATGAACTATTTTCTGGCTGATAATAAACTTTTTTTTAGAGTACATAGAATATTACTTCTTACATCTCTGTTCTTTTGAATTTCTTTTTAAATTGCATGCTGACTGTCTTATGGAAATTAGTTCGGTGTTCTTTCATATTATATTGTGTACAAATCCTCGATGTTCATAAAACTGTTTTTATGCTTTTCCCTTCTACATTTTATCTAAGAGCATTTTAGAACTGAAAAAAGGCCCATTTCTTTTTTGTCTGGTGATGCGTTATCCTCCATAGTACACCAACAAGTTTCTATTAACTGCGATGTAATGCACAGTGGACTGATTTTGATGGGATACCTAAGCAAATTTACTTTGCTATTTTGTTGTCTATTACCAAGTATGCAAGTCCTCAAGATCTGGTGTTTTTAACCCCCATCAAATACTTTAAAGGTCTCTTCATGAGTTTGACTGAATGGTCTGGTCACACATTTAAATAACTACTGCCTATTAAGTATTTGACGATTGCCTGACCTCTGACATTTGGATTTCACTGAGTGCCACATTTGAATTGAGCTAGGCCACTAAATTAAAATTTTACAATTCTGATGTTTGATGCCTTCCTCATCCAGAATATCTTGTTGACCTTCTTTTTCTTCTTCACCCCCCTTTTGGTTCCCTTTTTGCTGTTAATATGGTCTTGAACTGGGATGGTGGAAGATCATCCTTGAAAGGCCTTGATCAATCATTTGCTCCTTTTCGACCATCACTGTTGTCTTCTTTGTTAAAGTAATTTTGGAAGATTTTTATCCTAGTGGTAGAACACTTAGCATCTAAATATATTATTGTTGAGGCATTAATTCTTTATCAAATTAATAGTGCAGATCTTACTTTATGTTTCACGAGATGGATGTGAACCAGCCACAGTCAATATTCAGATACCTACCCATTCTTTCATTCACAGAAGGTTATATATATCAGGTAAACAATCGGACAAGAATCTCATGCTTTTATGTTTGTAATTGTTAAATGGAGACATATTGAATACTTCGAATCAAATGTGTTAAAGTGGTATTGAGGGCTCAAAGAAAGTAACAAGACATTCCTTTTTGTTACGGTGCTGTTGAAAGATGCCCGCATGCTTCGACATGGCTGTGTGGATGATTTTTTTGCGTAGAGAATTAGCATATCCCAGCCTCTGTTCAATTTTTTTTTCCCTTTTTAGGGCTATAAAGAATGAAAGAAACCTGTTATATAATGTGACTGTCTTGCTCGAGCACATGATTCATAAGCATTGCAATTTTGAGAGGAACATAGTTTGCAATCAACAAACATTTGATAACATGGCCTATGAGCTGCCAGATTGTCTTTCACCTCTGTTTCCTAAAAGTTTCATGGTTTTGGTGCTACAGTTGGATAGCCTAAATGAGAAATCACTGCAATTACCAATCAGTGGAGTTCCTGACAGCGAACTTGGTCTGGTAATGCTCAGAATTGTGGAGTTGTTCTGTACAAAAAGCAATTACATTGCAAGTCTACGCTTACTTTGTCCATGTGTCTGACTGAGGTGCAGGAAGCAAATCAGAGCTGGATTGTTCAGTTCATGAAGCTGTTTGGAACCGAGCCCTTCAGACCACATCTTGTTCTTCTTGAGCAGCATGGACTTTTGACTGGAAGGTTCAATTTCTTTCTTGTCATCAATATTCTTTATTTGGATAAAGATGGTTTGTAAAGCATGCCATCTGATTTTTTTTTTTCCTGCACTTGTGGATTCAGGATAAGAGAAGAATTTAGGTTTGGAGAAGAGTACTGGGCTCTAGAAAGAAAGCTCTGCAGTGCACTAATGAGCAAACAGGAGGTGGCTGTTTCATCATTGCTCCTTTGCTAAAACTAATTACCTATAGACTTATTTTCCCAATATTGATTATTTCGAAATGGATTATTTTATGTTAAAAGGCATATGTGTTAATTTTTGTGAAGCGATGTATGGCTTTCTATTGTCACTGCAATAATTTTAAATAGAAGGGATCAACTTACAACAGGTGTAAGATCCTATTTTTACACCATTTTTTAATCCTTAGATCATAAAAAATTCAACCATGACCATTGGGTTGCTTCATATTCATTGACACCTATGCAGTACGATGTTTTTTTAAATGACACCCAAATAAGTCCCCATTAATGGCTGTCTGGGAGGGGTAGATTGGGTGCAGACTTAACCTTTGGCATTATCTACACAAAAAAGTGGTTTCGCTCAGGTTTAAACCTACAACCTCATGGTTGGTCCAAGCTTTAATTTTTAACCACTGAATATTGAAGTTTAAATCTTATTTTTTCTTCTCTTGCCTAAGTTGGCCCCTCTGTTCTCCCTGTTTAAATACAGATTCCATATGATAACCATAGGGTAATCAACTGTTTATCTCCTTGTTTTCTTCTCTTCTTGTTTGGTTTGTTTACATAAGAATTGTTGCAAACTTTAATCAAAGCCAATAAGTTTTGATTTGAATCTTTAATTCTCTTCGAAGATGAATATTTGGGAAAGGTCTTTGATGAATCGTATTGCTGATTTGCAAGTAATGAGTAACTTGCAGAACATCTAAAAGGCTATTTGTACCTTGTACCTGCGTATATAAGTATTTAGGCAAAAAGGGGGTGGGGTGGGGGTGAGCAAACTTGAGAAGACGACAAGAAGAATGAGATGGGTCCAAAGAATTGATATACTGGGATAGAAGAGAAGAGAACAATTGCTATTCTGGACTCTACATTGTGGGGGCGGACATGCAGGAATCCAAGTGATACTCCAGTAGAGAATAGTAAAAAGTTGAGGAGAAAGCTGACCCAAAAACTGTTGGGACAAGGATTTTTTGAGTTGAGTTGATTATACACCAAGTAAAGCGGAATATTTTCAATGAATAACACACTGTTATGGTGAAAATGCATAACTATTTCTTATGTTGGATTTTACAGTATTTAAATGCTGTAGCACTAGGAGTTCTACACCTGGTTTATGTTGATCCTCCTCAATGGATAATCTTGTCCACTCATGAGCCAGTTATATAAAGGTGGAATCATGTCCCTGCATATTTTGTCATTCATGATTTTTACTGTTTAAGTTTCTTTTTCTACTTGAAATCATGCCCCTTGTTGTTAATGAATGTATGGAATTGGGAGAGTACTTTACTGTAGTTTGGTGCTTTACTTGACATGATGTATTTGTTATAGCATAGGCATGGCCAATAGCTAGTTTTAATCAAAGATATGCTAACCAGGTTTCAGTTGAAGATGTGATGAGGGCAATTCATCTCAAATCATTTGACTATCGAGTGCTGAATCTGCTGTTGTATCAGTTGAGAGGAGAAGAGGTACATTCCTGTTAGGGTGTTTGTAAGTTATTGTAGATTCGGTTTATGAACTAAATATTTGTTGGAGTATCTCGTCTTTGAACATCTTCCCTAGTCACATGATACTATTATTTCTACTTTTCAAACTTAATAGCTGAAATTAAGTTAATTGTTTATTTTCCTTTCTTTGGAAGAGTGTATCTCACTTGGTTAATGTTTCTTTGAAGCTGTTACAAAGGTTAATGAATTGCACATGGAATTTCTATCAGTTTCAGAATTCCTTGTTGAGATATCTGATGACTTGTAAGTATTTTTGTGTGCTTTCTGATTGATTTATTTTCCTTTCCATGTGAAGAAATTCTGGGATTGTATTTGACCTGTTAAGGGGTAACATAACCATTTAATTATCTATTACTGTGCAATATCTAATCAATAAGTGGGTCAGAACTGAGAATTGTATGGAAGAGGCATATGTTTTGTCCATGTTCGTGCTTCTCGTATGTTTACCTTGCTCTGTGGTTATTACATTACATGCTGGTTCTTTTTATCTGGATAACTAAGCCTACACGTTTGTCTGTTTGGTAATGAATGTGGGAACCATATCGATACTATCACTGACAAGATGAACCGATGATGCTGTAGGTTTGACTATGAGGTGAGTCTATGTAAAGCAGGGTTTTTCTTCAGTCTTATGGTTCCTTTCCTGTTTATCCTTTCTTTTGAAGGTAAAATATAGTTGGTTCTTTCTAGGAGGATGTCTTGGAGAACAATTTCAATATTTTGCGCATGCTTGTCAGAATATATGGGGCTTCCACAGCACCAACCATGCTGGTGAGTAGTAGTTATGAGTATGTCTTAAAAATATAAGCTTCTTGAGTTTTATCTCATGTATCTGGTTCTATCATGTTTTATTAACTTTGACCATTCCTATAATTATGATGCTCAAGAAGAAAGAGGAAATTTCATATCAAACAATCGGTAGACCAAGAAACTTTTGGCTTCACTGTTTCTTGACCAGTTAATTCATAAAAAATGCCCAGGAAGGATTCCACTATCATTCTAATTTCAAGTAGTTTTTATTGTTGTGCTCTTTCAATTTTTGAATAATGTCAAGAAATGCTTATTTTTTGAGCGCAGTTTCTCTGAATCAATATATCTGTTTAGGTGGCATGAAAAAGAAATATAAGGGGGAAAGTTTTAAGAGGAGAAATGCAGAATATAGGGAAGTTATGAAGGGCTTGCGAATCACTTCCCCAGCAGTGTGGGGACCTCCTATGGAAGGCATGTATAGTATAAATTTTGATGCAGCATGATTTGAAGAAAAAAGAGATGTGGTGGAGGTGGGAGTGAACTGGGTTGGGTTGGGCTTGTGAGTGGTAGTAGGTTTAGGTTTAGGTTTGGGTTTGGGGGCTTAAGATAGATTATGACATTTTTGTTCCAGTAAGTAGATAGATTATGACTTGTCTAAAATACCTCTCTCTGACCTCTCTATGAGCAATCACATGAGAGGCACATGGGTTCTTTTCATTACAAAATCTAGCAGAATCAAACCGAAGGTCCACATTATGTCAACTTAAAAAGTGGGGGCTCAGTTGAGACAAAAAAATAGTTGAAAGACTGAATTGAAATTTTTAGTATAGTTTAAGGGCCAAATAGGAAATTTACTCAAAAGAGAAACTCCTTTGTACATTCTACTGTCTCTTGGTCTCTTCAAAGACACCATGGGTGGTTTCTGCTTGTATGTACATGCTGCACTTTTTTATTGTCAGGAAAAAAACTCTGTAGGTATGCCAAGATTGCAGAATAATGGTAACTATTGCACTGCACTTTGTAGTGGCAGCAATTATATAGATAATTGAACTGAACCGAGCAACACATAGAAACGTACATTTGTATGGTGCTTATAGAAGCTTTGCTTGTGTATAATAATTGAATAGCTCCTTTTGTGTATTTGGTATTATCAGAAACCTAGTCCTTTATTAATGTCTTTGTAGGCAAGACTTATATCTGAAGCCGAAGAGAAGTATGATCTATTACTGAAATCCTTGGATCCCAAACTTTCCATGAATTATCAGAAAAGATGTGAAGAAGCTACTAAAGAAGGTGAAGTTTTTAAGCCAAGAAAACTTGTATCAAGTATATGCTCTCAACAAAATAACTCCCTGTCCAACTATCTGAATGGGCCACATTTCATATAAAGCTAGTAACTTTCATCTCACTTGTTTATTTGGTTCTCTCAATCTTTTCAGGTGGAAAGATAACTGGTCCTTCTTTTGGAACATGGAGTATCCCACCTGTAATTGAAGATGAGGATTCATATCGATCCAAAATTTCAAATTCTAAGCAATCTGTTGTATCTGGGGACACATTTCTGACGTTGCAAGTATCTGATTAGGATAAATAGATCAAAAATAGAGCTCAACAATCTTCTCACTGTTGTGAAATTCCTGTTAAGCTTTTTTCCCGTTAAAATGAATTGATATTATTGTGCCAATGAGTCTAAGGGACGTCATAGTGGCGAGGGTCGTCAATCTGACTTCTTTGGGAACAATCGGTTATGTCCGAATCTTAGAATGTTTTTGAGTAAGCTATTTCTGGTGCAAAAGCTTTTGTTTAGTTGAAGCATTGTTTCCACTGGCATTGTCATTGTGGAAAGATCACTCTGTAATGTTGATCCATTTATATAAGGAATGATATTGATAGGAAAGAGAGGTCGGAGATATGCTTGACCTTTGATATAAAGCGGATGTTCTAGTGGCCTCGACAATAATATTTGTTTGTGATATTAAAGTGTTATAAATCAAATCAAACTAAACCAAATTAATTTTTATATATCAATCATTTAAGGTCGGTTATACAAGTTTGTCTTTGTCATTCTGCAATGTTTGGACTCATCATAGTAGACCTGACAAAGTATTACGTTAATTGTTGACTATTTAATGCATTTGTCCTCCTTTATTCTAACTTGGGACAATATTGTTATTCTAGTGTTATGTCGGATAATATTACATTATGCAAAAAAAATATTTAATACCATACTAAAAATTATTATTTTTTGTGGTTAAATTATATTTTTTAAAGATAAAGTTACAACTCTTTTAAGGTAATTCATGATTAATTATAAATTATTTAGATCACTTGTAACTTCTCTTTTATAAATTGTAATTTAACTTTTAAAATCTGTAATTTTTATAATTAATCATAACATTTTAGGATCAATTGTATTTTTTTACGGGTATAACTTACACTCTAAAAAATTATAATTTGATCGTAAAAAGTTGTAATTTTCGTTAAGATAGCATAATTTTTCTTTATTATCATTCAAATAATATCTAAATTATGTTTTACTCTAAAGGGTCGACTATGGTACCCTTAACCTATTTTTGTGGTATGTTACTATAATTATTAAAAATATAGTTTTTAATTCAATTTGATGAAGTTAACACAAAATAGAGTTTTTAAGGGTTAATTTTAATATTTTAGGATCAATATTAATTTTTTAACATAACTCAATCATGCTGTGTAGTAACTTTAGACTCTAATCGATCTATATTTGTTATAAACCTCTTTACATTATTTTATTTACAAAAAATGTTATTTGGTTTTAATTTAGAGATCTAATTTGAAAACGTAATTTAATAAAATTATTAAATTAAATACAAAATTATATTAAATTAAATATTTAATTAAATCTCTAAATTAAATTCTTATAAGTTATAGCATCGAATTTTTTATTATTGTAGTCGTCGTGCGTATTAAGTTGATGATATTCTAAAAGTCATAGTTTGCCCCTCACACAGGATCTGACATGAAAAAGTAGATAGGGATTGTGACCTTGCGCAGAGGCTGATAAGACTGCAAAACTACCAAAAAGGCATCTTCTTCCGCTTTATTGAGAAGCAAAATGCTTACTTGCATCCCTACTGACCAGTCACATGCTTTGGCCATCTCAATCGGTCAGAAGCCATATTCTTTTTACTTTTCTCATTGACAAGCTTGCCTTTGCCATCTCATACATAGTTTTTTTATATTTATCTGATATTCCATTAAAATTAATTTTATATTTATTTATTTATATAATTTCTAATATCAAACAACTCCATCAATAAAATTTTCAACGACAAAATATTTCACTAATCTACATCTACCTCTCACTTCTCTTTTTTTTACATTTCTCTTATTTTTTTTGTTCACTTTAATTTTATATTTTGTAATTAAAAAAATAAATTACTATTCAAATATAAATATAACACGAAAAGAATCATCATCAATTGGGGACGGGAGCCAAGATTTCTCCCTAGTGGGTGCAATTATTAGGTTAATGAAAATCATTGAACAATAACCTTTAAAATCATTGAATAAGTTCGAACTTGAATAATCGATAAATTTTTTCTTAACAAAAATCGTATTTGACTAAATGAATTCGGATGAGAATTGGGGTGAATTTACATGTCATTACATATGAAAGAAAAAAAACTAAAGATTATAGATAGAATTGTGAGATTGAGTTGCAAGAGCAAAGTTTAAGTAATTTTTTATTTATGAATGAATCTTCCTAAAAATCTTTAGAAATATTTTTTCTTAAATATGCCATTATTTTTCTAACACTATCAGTGTTGGTTAGTTGTAGTATATTTGGTATGGATCAATTAAATCGATTCTACGTGTTTTGAATTTTAATGTTTGAAGCACAATTTAAATATAAAATTGGTCACATTTTAATAAATTTATTTGACAGTTTCAAATAAGTTCATTCCAACGGTCACTAATATCTCTATCAATATTATTTATATTACACCACGTTTTCAGGTCTGAGTTATCCCTAGTCTATAATATAAAATAGAATAGGTTTCAATAAATTCATCCGACGGTCTCAAATAAACTCATTCAATGACTATCAGTATTCTTCACACACGAATTATCCATAATTACTTATATATGGAAAACCTACCTAGTGCATGAGTTTTTTTTTTTTTTTGTCATTGTGGGGGTATGTGAAGATATATAAACAAAAAGTGATTATTTTTATGATTCGAACCATGATAAAATAAATATACTGTTCTATGAAGCCCAAATATATTTAAGTTTTGGAGAAGATTATAGTATCGAAAAAAAAAGTTTGGTACTGTATTTCTAAATTTAATAATTTTATTATTAAATGAGTGTTTTTATAATTTTTATAAGTCATTTTACAACAAAAAATTATTATTTTTGTAAATTATTAGAATCGATCGCAAGTATTATAAAAGTGATAAAAATAATTATCATAATAATGATAAAAATATTTACAAAAATTATAAATAATAATACAATACCAATTTTTTTTTTATTTAGTATGGTAGATAGCTCTTTTAGTTTTTTGGAAAAATTTCAACCACATCCCCTGTAATTTATCATATCTTCAAGGACATCCCTTCTAATTTTTAAATCTTCAATGACACGTTGTCAGATTAAAAATATTAAAAAAAAATTTCAATGACATCCCCTCTAGTTTACCATATCTTCAAGGACACCTCATTTAGTTTCTGAATCTTCAATAACACCCATTCTAGTTTAATTTAAACATCACTAACACCTTTTACTATTAAACTATTATTTCTAACAAAATAAATTCAACTAAAATACCAAAAATGCCCCTACATAACCTCAAGTAATTTTTTTACATAAAATTTTATTAAAATTTGAGCTGTTAAAATTTTTAAAAAAATTATAAATAACAATTTTAGTAAATAATTTGTTAGTAAATACTAATTTTTTATTTACTGATTAGTAAATTTTTTTAAAAAAAATCGAGCCTATTAATTTTTTTTTTACATATTAAAATTTGATCCGATTTGAACTCTATCTGAGTTGTTAGAGTCGATTAAAATTCTTTTTCAAGTCGATTATAGTTTATATTTTTTTCTTATTAAAATTTGTATCAATTAAAATTAGATTTATTAAAATTTAAGTCAATTATTCATATATTTTTATATATTAAAATTTAGGCTGATTAAAATTCAATGCGAATTAATTAAAATTTAATTTGAGTCGATTAAAAATAATTTTTAATTGGCTCAAACAAAATTTTAATTAGCCCAAATTCTAATACGTAAAAAAAATACAATTTTTAATTGGCACAAAATTTAATATGTAAAAAAATAAATTTTAATTAGCTTGAATCGAATTTTAATCGATTTGAATTTAATTATGTAAAAAAAATTAGAAAACAAAGGAGGTCTCATTGAAAATATACTTATCTAGAGGGAGTTTCATTGAAGATATGTTTATCTAGAGGGGGTGTGGATGAAGTTTATCCTCAAATATATCATGGGTAATTTAGTAAAATTGCGTTCTACTTAATATTTTTAATCTGACAGGGGTGTCATTGAAGATTCAAAAATTAGATGAGGTGTCCTTAAAAATATGATAAATTATAGCGGGTGTGATTAAAATTTTCCCAAACTTTTATCAAATGACCAATTTGTTAGGTCCACCAAAAAAGATCAATTTCTTTTACGACAGAACGTACATCATGATTACCACAATAGGGGGGCCTATGTCGTCCACTTGAGTGAGAATCTGCCCAGAGGTCCTACAATCACATAGCGTCAAGCATCCTCACGGGGTCGATTCCACTTTGGTTTCACACTTGGATTTTTCATTCTCCCTTTCCCATAAAATTCACATGTTTTTTTACACATATTTAGGGGTAGTTTTACGGTACCCATTTTTTTTCTTGATACTATATTAAAAATAATTATTTATAATTTCCATGATATATTTTTTTTCAATTGTAACTTTTATTTTAAAAAATATAATTTAATCTAAAAAATTGTAAATATCAATATGATACCAATATTGATGCTGTAATCTTCCTCCACATGTAGTGTTGGATTTTACTTAAATTTATAGTGGATGAAGTATTGAAAATGAAAAAAAAAAATAGTGGTGTTACGCTGACTAAAAAAAGGGGATGAAAAATATAAACTAATTATCATGGTATTATCATAATAAGAGAAATTTAAATTTTAAATGTTTAAAAATAAAAGTAATTATACTATTATAATAATTTAATTTTTTTTTTTCTCTACCACGACTCTAACAAAATATATTGAAGAAGATAACCTTTGTATGGGACCCGCAATCACTATGGTACTACAGAAACTCCAGAGTCACATGACAGTTGCCTAGATTGGCTCGGATATCAAAAATACCTGCCAGTTTCATAGCAAAGTTAAAAGCGCTAGTCGCATTTTGATTTTCCTCTCCAACTTGTAAAGTTATTCAAATCGCACGCCGGTGCGAACATATGGCAAATGCAAAAATTATGTACCGACACTGTTACGATATCGCATCGGTTAAAAACATAAAAGATTAAATTAGTATATATAAATTTTGTCACCCAATTTCTTTGTAAGATAGAGATGGAAACGTAATATAAATTTTGTGACTCTTTACGGTTGAATTACGAAATGGACACTTCTTCATTTGTGCTGTGAGGGCCCAAGAAGTTCATGACCATACCATCAAGTCTCAAAGACATTTTTGGATTCAAGCTCTCAGTTTACACTTCATTACCATACCATCTGTCCCTCTCTCTCTCTCACACACACACACACACACAACACATGCTTCTGTTGGAGTGAGAAGGGAGCAACTCTTTTGTCAACAAACTTGGGTTTATACCAAAAAAAAAAAAAAAAACAAACATGGGTTTATATTTCCCATGCTCGATGTTCTTTAAAAGAACAAATCAAAGCAATTTTCACTCTCAGTTTTTTTTTCTCCTCATTTTTTCCCCGGGGTGTGTCAAACTTTCACGTTCAAGAGCAAGAAAAGTACGTCATAATCATTAACAAACAAAGCTCGTATAAACGAACGATCAATATTCGTTTGACTCAGTAACATGATTTCCTTATTACAGCATTAGTGCAGGATACAATGCCACGATTTGCAACATTGAGGTATGTACATCAAGATGAACTTCATACAAGCAGTATAAGCAATAAGCTATAAGAGCAGAATTTGGAGTGGACGAACCACCTTTGAACTACAGAGACTTCATCAAACACAAAGCAGACTTCAAGGAGATTGAGGCCAGTCGTATCCAGCATCGACATGATCCAAACCATCGTAGAACCACATTTCCACATCCTCGACATCTTGTTCGTCTTCCCAAAACCCATCCGACATCTCATCAGAGAATTCGTCCATATCACCAGCCACAAAATCCCAGGCCACATAGCCAGAAGAAGCCGAGTAATCTGAGCAACTGTCGCAGACATTCATCTCGTAACAATCTACTACAAGGGGTCCAACCACCTTCAGCCCGGGAATTTCTTGATAAACTTCTCATCAAGATTCACATTCCAACACCCTCGCACATCCAATAACACAAGCTGTTGACAGTTTTTTATTATCTCAATCACACTTTGTGTACAGACAAGCAAGTATGCCATCTCAATGTGCTTGAGCTTGGGCATTGTCGCAGCAATGGCAAGGGCCTCATCATCTTGGGAGAGCTTGTTAACTACTTCTAGTGGGTGCATTATTCGCCGCAATCCAGTGAGGAACTTACAGTTCTTGCCAATTACCTCCAGGGCTCTGGCTCCTAGCTTTAAGCAGTAGCTCAGATCCAAGAAAGTAAGGGTGGAGAGCATCCCAGAAACCTGTTCTACAATGGAATCGCTAATTTTACTTCTAGGCAGCCGCAAGGTTTGAAGTGATTTGGCACTGACAACCAGAACAGCAAACAATAAACAATAGCAATAAATCCTAAGTCATCACCAAGCTACATGTAGTATAAAAACTAAATCTCACATGATTCCTTATTTCTTGCCTATGTTGTAAAACTAGGAATCCCAACTCAAGACTTGGACCTCATTAAATCAGTCTTAAAAATAAATAATGGAACTCTTAAGAACATTGTTCAGTTGGTGAAACTTTCTCACAATTCTATTTTAAATTTATTTGCAAATGAGATGTTTTAAGTACTATCAAATAATTGATAAGCAAAACGCAAATTACCAAGTTTCCGATCATGTTGTCATGTGGGATAATAAGATATGAAACCCATTTGAATTAGTGTAGAACTTCAAACCTACTATACTGCTGGCAGTACATTTCATAACCTAGCACAATTTATTTCACATCGACAAAGAGATACTTTAGCAATCATACGGTGATACAATGTGATATCATAGGGTACTTAACTGGTCTGCAATGAAGAAAAAACTGGGGTCATTGGAGAGGCCAGAAATGCAGAGTTTGCGGAGTGAACCACAGCTTCTTGTGATAAGCAACTGAAGCATTCTATCAACGTATTCTGGCTGGCAGTGTCGGCTCCATTCCTCAATGTCTATCTCTTGCCAGCAATAAGGCCCGCTCACTGCTCTTTCCCATGACTTGCAAACCCTTGGGACTACAGTAAGTAGTTCCTGAAGTGAAAGATTTTTAAATATCAACCCAAGTGCATCAGGCAGTAATTCATCCCAATGCCTGAAATGGCACGTTTCATCCATTCAATCTTTGTTTTTCCTGCAAAATTACTAAGAAGAATTGCATGCCTGAATTAGAAATCAAAAGGCAGAATACATGACTATGCTTAAAAAACACTTCTTTTGTTCAACAAATGCAGAATTGTGATTCTGTCAAAACTAAATTGGAAATCCATCATCATTAAACGAAAATTATCAGTTTCTTTTTCGGTTTTCTAGACAAGGAAAATCCAACCAATAGTTGGGATTTGCCAAGAAATTTATACCTGGAATAATCCATCATTTCCTACATAATTACCAAACATTGCTTGTATGGTGTAACTGTGTAGGCTTAACATAAATATAGGATGTCTAAGCAATCCAATCAGCAACAGATAGAAAACAAATAAAAGACAGGTACGAAGATCATGGGAAAAAAAATTACTTGGATCCATCGAATCAAAATATCAGAGAAAGCAGAAATATAGAACCAGAAGAAGGAAAAATTCGTGAAAAAATGGGATTAAAAAATAGGAGGAAGGAGAAGAAACAGAACAGAGGAATGGAAACAAGCCTCAATCAAAAAGTTATAATGCATACCAGATAAAGGGACCAACTTTACACATGTAACAGCCCCCAAATTCTTTTTGTTTTTTTTTTCGGTACATACAACCCCTTAATTCCACCAAAAGCAATTCCAAACCCTAGGAAACGACAAATGACTAAAATAACATAATTCATTTCTATTTATCACCGAGTGGTTGAACCAAATTGCATAGGAGGTCAAGAACCGCATAGATCAATCATACCCAGAAGAGGAAAATGCTTCAACAAAGCTATAATACAAGAAAAGAAGGAAGCGGAACAGATAAATTGACAATTCCATCGAAGAAAACGAGGCAGGAGTTATTAAATGCTACCAAGAAACTAATTTGGAGAAAGATTAATAGGTATCTGAAAACTCAAAACCAAGAAAACATGAACAGAGTTACTGTTTGAATCACCATTAATGGAAATTAATGCAATTTAGATGAAGTTCCCAAGAACTACCTGTTTCTTAGTTCATTCGCGAACCAAGAAATGTACGGATACAAAATTGTACAATGTAAGGTAAGAAAGGTGAAAGAGAGCCCAGGATTACCAGCAGTATGTACTCTTGGATCTCTATAAACACCGGTTTATCCGCCTGAAATGAAGGGCAGAGAGAGTTTTGTCTGTGTGTATGGGGGGTGTGTGTGTGTGAGAGAGAGAGAGAGAGAGTGAGACTCTGAGAGAGAGAGAGAGAGAGAGAGAGAGAGAGAGAGAGAGAGAGAGAGAGAGAGAGAGAGAGAGAGTGAGAGTGAGAGAAAGAGAGAGAGAGAATGCCAACAGAAAAAACAAGAAAAGAAGCAAATGCAATACACTTTTGTGATGATGAAGATATACTTGTACGTAAAAGAAGAAAGAGTAAAGACACCTATTTGGAGAAAGCAAGGTTTGTTGTATTGAGCTTTGTATGTGTTTATGTGAGACTTTGGATACTTACTTTTGAGTGTTAAAGAAGCTCGTTTACTTGCCGTATATCTGACAACAAAAATTATTTTAACTATTTAAAAAATAATATTTTTATTTTAATTACTTATTTTTTTATTACGCACTTCAACATATTTTATATATTTTTAATTATTCTTTTTAAATATTATTTCTCACCTTTTGTATTATTTTTTTTTGGAGAATAGTAAAAAAGAGAGAGCGAGTGAAAAAAATGAAAGGAAGAGAAAAAAAATATTATAAAATTTATTTATATATCGCTACGGTGATACTCTAAATATAGAGTATCATTATAGCAAAATGTTATTTTAAATATTTTGAATATAATCTGTTAGAATGGAATTTTTGGGTTAAATAGTTAAAATTTAAAGATTTTGTGTGTTTTAGATCATCTGTTGAAGATGCTCTTAAAGACTTAAAATGTTTCTTGATATATCTTATTCTTACATGTTTATGTCAACATATACGGTGTACACACTCCAATATTATAAATATAATAGGGATAATTCGTATCAGAAGGTATGATGTAATATGAATGAATTTGAGAGCGATATTAATGGTCGTTGGATAGATTTATTTAATGTCGTTGGATGAGTTTATTGAAACCTACATTGTTTTATATTATAGATTAATAATAATCTTGTATCTAAAAATATTCTACAATACTAAAAATAGAATATTGATTGAGTAATATTTATATTTTAAATAACATTTTTTTATTTTTTTAATTATACATTTAAAATTAAAGTGAAAAAAATAAGATAGAGGGGGGGGGGGAGAGAAAAGAGAGGTAAGTGTAGATTAATGAAGTTTTTTGGTATTGAGAAGTGTGTTGATTAAGTTATCTGACATTTAAAATCGTGCAAAAAAATGATATTTTTTAGCCACAAAAAAAAAGATTTTTGAGATGCTTTTGTTCTGGTGGATCAAAGTAAATAAAAAATAGATCAATTTTGACCGTTATTTTGTTTTTATAAATTAAAATTCAACTTTTTAATTGTAATATCAGATAGATTTTTCAATTTCAATAAGGTTCAATGTTAGTTGGACATAATTTATTAACCTAATTTGCTTATTTAATTAGTCATACACTAATATTGTTGGGACATAATTTAGAGACTTAATACATCGTGATCATTGAATTGATAATGTTAGAACCCATTGATAATTTAATGCTGAGACTCATGAATAATCTAGTGGTCACAATCATTAAGTTCTCAAATTATGTCTCAATAGCATTGCTATTAGTCATAAGCATTTAATTAATAATAAGCCTAATATTTATTGGGACATACAACCAATTCAATTGTTGTGATGAATTAAGTTAGTAAATTAAGTCCAAATACCATTATTGTTCAATAAGATGCCTCATTGATCAATAATATTATTTAGATCTAATATGTTGACATAATCTAAATAGCATTATTGTTGACTTAATGTGCCACAACCATTGTGTGCATGCAGGATCTTGCACAATATAAATACGAGAACAGATCTCTCCTGTGGTGAACACGTATCTGAAATTGGGTGGTTGATTTTGCTAGTTGAACAAGTTGTGGGAGTCGAAGGTGGATAATCAATCGTTGGTATGAATCGCCTGAGTGATCCTGGAAAACTGAAGGGGGTTCCTGGAACAAAGAAAAACAGGTTAGAAGAGCGCTGAAGTGTTTTTCGGCGTATCCCCTCCGACGATCAAGTCAGTTCCTTGAAAGAGGAGAAGAAGAGAACATTGTATGAAGGTTGAGAGAGGGTTTATTGCGTACCTCATCATGCGTTTTATGAGGAGTATTTATACCTTAAAAACTCATGATTGCTCTCAGTATGACCAGTAGGTGATCATTAGAGGTGGGTAACGTGCACATTGGTTTTTAGGAGAAATGACACATTCCTTAACTGCTCGAGACCTCGAGCAACCAATGCATCACCCTCGGTCTGTTGAGCATTTAATGACCTTCACTCGGCAGGGATATATTAAATGTTCAGTCACAGGAACATTCATCGTATTTCACTTCCAGGTCTTCACATATTAAATGCTGTCTCATCAAGGGAAATGTGCATTAAATACTTGCTTTCCCAAGTCGTATGTCAGCAAGGGCATTCTGGTCTTTTTGCCTATAGTCTGACACAGTACGCCACATGCCAGCTCCCCTTTGGTTGAGTCTTCTGCTTTCCTGATACCATCTAGGTAAAACCAGGTCATGATGGCTAATCTAGCCTAGCCCAGGCTGATGACCTGTCTATCAATAGCCCTGTAGGAACAGGAACGCTGATGTAGTGGGTACACATCGGTGCCGAGGACCTAGTACGGTTAGGGCTGATGTACCCACCCATTCGACCGAGGAATACGTGTCACCCGTGCATACCGGCATCGTAGATCCTTATGCATAGTACCATCTCAGGGGAATAGGGATCATGATCCGACGAGCACGTGTTGTGATCACGGCAGAGAGTATTTCTTGACACCGAGTACACGTGTCGCTATCTTGGAGTGTCCGAAAAATGTCCCATCAACTGCCTCCAGCCTTCGATCTTCTGACGCCGAGGACACACATCGTAAGGAGACGAAGGGTTCTGCAACTACCGCAACCACTTCATCATTGCCTCTAGCCGCTTTCCTCCGCTTAGGAGGACTTGCGCATTAAATGCGCCTCTTCTTGCTTCGTGCCCAATAATGGGGATGGGTACTATATAAATGGGTTCTCTCTCTCTTCTCACACTTCGCCATTTCGAACTCTTTAAAGAGCCCTCGCCTGAAATTTCGCCTGAGACCCACTTCCTTACGTTGTCTACAAACCAATCTTCACCGGAGTCTTAAGGCCAGCAGACCCATCCTTGCTTCTGAACCTTCTGGAGGAAGGAACCACTCCAAGTTTTGAAGAAAACCTTCGTTCAAGTTCTAGTGAGTCCTTGTATTTTCCTTCTGTCTCTTCTGTCTCTTCTTTCTCTTTTTTTGTTTTGTTTTTTGATTCTCCGATAACCGGAGGTGTTTCTGGTTGTCATTCTGTGACTAATCCTTCAAGAAACCCCTAGGGGATCTTCGTAAAAAAAACTTTGTCCTTCCTCTTTAGTTTTTATCTTCTTTGGAGATACCCCGACGTCGGCCTATCACCGAGGATCCCCAGGCCAGTTCCTCGAGGCCCGGGAAGTACAAAGTGAAGGGAGAGGAGCAGATTAATAGGTTTAGGGCTCGATACCGCATTACCCCAAACATAGGTATATATGAGTACGATCCATTTTTGCACAACCGTATTATCGAGACCGAGAATGAGATGCCATTTTTTACCAAGACAATCATAGAGAGTGGAATTAGGTTCCCCCTGCCTCCTCTACTCCTCCAGTTCCTCATCCATTTCAGACTCTTCCCGGGGCTGTATTGCCTTAACGTATTTAGGATAATAATGGGGGTAAACGCTGAGCTCAACAATATCCTTTTTTGCTACTCCCTGTTGAGGGTCATGCCTTAGCAGAATTTCTACCTCAAAGCCAAGGATCCCTCCATTTACCTTGTAACTCAC